AGTCAAAGAAGGAGAATTAAATGGGACAGGCTTCCTCCTTTGCATCCGGGCTAGCACCCCTCTGGAGGCAGCCTCCCCCTTCTCCATGGAGTAGAACTTCACTCGCTGTGATTGTCAGGAAGTGTGTGTATGGGGGTGGGGTGGGGGCTAAAGAAGTGTATGGCATGGCAGAGCCGAGTGGACACAGCTATGAAATCTGCCCCTCCAGCTGCTGTGGGCTTGCTGTTCCTGTGTCCATGCAGCCGAGCACACACACCTCACCCCACACACAGTGCACCCCATTCTCTCCATCCCCCAGGGATGCCCAGGCCGTAGCAGAGGGCCAAGAGGGCACAATGCTGAGCCAAGTGGACTAGTCACAGGCCACACAGAGTGGTGGGAAGACAGACCCTAGAAGAGGACGGGCGCCTGGGTTCTGTGGCTGCACAGGGATGGGCAGGATGCTAGAGGCACCTCAAAGGGGAACCGACCTGGATTGGCATCAGGATGGGCTTCCCTAAGAGAGGCAAGAGGGGACAGGGGGGAGGGTTGTGGCTAAGAGTAGAGGGAAGGAGGTATAAGAGCAAAATGGGCAGCTCTTGTAGGTGCTGACAGAGGGACAGGGTGGCCAGAGGAGAGGCCAGGAGACCGCTGGTAGAGGAGTGGCCAGGGTGGTCAGAGGAGAATGACCAACACTGGAGGGCCTTGAAGGGCCTCTAGACTTGGAGTGGGGAGTTAGGGAGTCTGGACTTGGAGTGGGGTGGCCATGAACATTTCATGAGAATCAGAATAGAGTAAAGCCCTGGGGTTGGACAGCCTGGGTTTGAGTTCTGCCCCTACCACCTCCTAGGCCTGTCGATTAGTAATAGTTAAGAACACCTCCGTTAATGTTTGTTATGTGCGTACAGTGTGAGGTAGTGCATTCAGGATGAGTTGTTGTTGTTAGGTGCCATCACGTCTGTTCTGACTCATAGCAACCCCAGTGCACAACAGAACAAAGCCCCACCCAGTCCTGCCCTAGCCTCACAATTGTTCTTCATGTTTGAACCCATTTTTGCAGCCACGGTGTTGATTCAATCTGGTTGAGGGTCTTCCTCTATTTTGAAGCCCATCTACTTTACCAAGCATGATGATATCCTTTGCCGGGCCTTATACTTATCGAGGGAATTATTTCATCCTCCTGACCGCATGGTAGCTATTTTTACTATCCTCATTTCACAAATGACTATCAAAGCCCCAAATGATTAAAAGACGTGCCTTGCCCAGGGACACGCAGATTCCGATTTCTTATCTGTGAGGTACCACTAATAAAACTTACCCAGTAGGCTGTTGCCAGAATTAAATGCGTTACTTGTTGAGCACGGTGTCTAGCATACAAAAAGCACTCGACAAAGTTATCGCATTGCAAAGTGACCGGAATTACACAAAGCAGTGTTAAATAAGTGCTGAGTCTCTAGACTCATTGGAGATTGGAGTCACAGGCGACTACAGTAAGAGGCTAGATCAGCGGTTCTCAACCTGTGGGTTGCGACCCCTTTGGAGGTTCAGCAACCCTTTCACAGGGGTCACCTGATTCATAACAGTAGCAAAATGACAGTTATGAAGTAGCAACGGAAATAATTTGATGGTTGGGGGGTCACCACAACATGAGGAACTATATGAAGTCTAATCCTATTTGTAAGGTAGAATCGAGGTCATAAAAAAAAACACGAGGAACTATATGAAAGGGTGAGGAATTGTATGAAAGGGTCATGGCATTAGGAAGGTTGAGAACCACTGGTCTAGATGGTGGCCTGCACCTGAATTCTAGCGATGGTGGTGGCAGTCAGGGGACAGAGGCCAGAGATACTTAAGAGGGAAGATGGTCCTAGTCCATGACAGAGCGGCTCTGGGGATAGCCTCCTGGGACATCTGGGATCACTTCCAGTTTCTGGTTTGCGTGAAGAGATGGTTGGGGAGTCTTGGAGAGGTTAAGACTAGGCTGGGTCAGGTTTGAGGAAGCGTGTCGTTCATTTTGAGGACTTTAAACTCAGCACACCCCCTCAAAGCCCAAGTCATCATTGTCACTGAGCTTCTTAGGGGGCATCAAGCAGGCAGCTGGACATACAGGCCTGGAACTCAGAGCAACATGATAGAGTAGGGAGCTACAGGTAGTATATACATCTGGAGGGCAGGGATGGGTAGGGAGACTAGTGATAGGCAATGAGGAAAGCGGGAGAGGGGGGAGCCAGGCGCAGGTCACATCTGAAGATTCAAGGGAAGGAGAGGCTCTCAGAAGAGGAAGGGTGTTACGGAGTCTGAAGATTTACTGAATGCAATCAAGCAGATTAAGTTCTGGAATCAGCAATAGGGAGCTCACTAAGGACCTTGTCCAGACCAGGCAGTGGAAGGAAGGGTGGGTGCCCAAGGCAGACCTGGATAGGAAGAGAAGCGGGTGGGTGTGGGGTGGAAATCGAGGCAGCTCTTTCTTTAGGAAACTTGACTATGAAAAGGGAGGAGGTGGTAGCTGGAGACCCAGGGTCCTCCCAGGGGACATTTGGCTTTGTCATTATTTTCTTTTTAAGTCAACTTTACATGAAGGTTAATATACATAAAGTGTGCAAGGGGGCTCCAAGGAGCTGGTGGGAAATTCTATAACCCTTTCATTCCATTTTCCACCATCTTTCTGGAGCCCGCTGGTCCCTGCGCTGAGTGGTGGTGGTAGTTTCCGACACACGCCGAGCCTACAAAACAGAGTAGGGCGGGCCCAGTGGGTTCCTCAGCCTCTCTTCTGTATGGGAGCAGATGTCTCCTCAGAGGCACTGGGTGACCTCAAGCCACTGAGCTTTTCGTTAGCGACTGACCGAGTGCTCCCAGCACTCCTTGTTCTAAGTATACACCTCACTACATTTGTACAAAGGAATACATCTCTATACCCAGAACCCAGATCAGGAAATCAACAGGACCAGAATCATCTGGGCAGCCCACTTCCTGCCCCTTTCCCATGACTGGCCGCACGGGGAATCAGGATCCTGACTTCTGTCACTGTCGATTCGCCTGGCCCTGTTTTTGAGCTTCGTGAAAAGCCCACTGAGGTCCTCTAGTGTGTCTTGCTTCTTTCCTTCAACCTTCTGGCTGTAAGCTTTCATCCACATCATTGGGTGCAACAGTAACGTGTTCATTCCTTTGACTGTAGACGATTTCATTATGCATCCCGGGGTGGTGAGAGGTTAACGGAAAAGTTGGGTGGTTTGAGTCCACCCAGAGACACCTGGAAAGAAAGGCTTGTGTGAGCTCACTTCCCAGCAAGCAGTCTTGGCAAGCCCAGTGGAGTGCAGTGCCCTGATGCACACGCAGTCACCATGAGGCAGAACTGATCTAATGGCAACTGGTCACTGGTTACCCATCCCAGGATGGATGGCAGTTTCCAGGGAAGTGTTGTGTTTAATGTGGGAGTGGCCTCGGCTGGTTTGAGGCTGGTGGAGAGAGTCTGAAGCACCCTCCGGCTCTAAGAAGGGGGAGAGGTGACTAAAGCCGCACATGAGGGCTTCCTGGGTGGGAGAGAGCAGCTGGCTGCAATCGGGAATTGTGCCATGATTCCAAGGCCCCTGGTATTAGCCTGCGCGCAGGGGCAGAGGAAGCCCGGAGCTGGGTTGCCCAGGACTGGGCTCTGCCAGGTAGGAGTGAGGAGCACTGAGGCTATGAATGCAGCAGGTAAACGGTGGAGCAGTGGCCCTCATTCTCAGCTGGTGTGAGGATGTGCAGGGAAAGTTGGGAGGAGGGGACAGGAGGGGGCTGACAGAGGCAGACTGTGAGCTCTGTGCAGAATGCTGTCTGCAGGACTCAGGGCTATATCCCGCCTACTGGCACATGCTCAGCACAGGGTTGCTACTCAGTTAATAGTTGGATAAATGAGCTCAGGGCTCCAGGTGAGGTGGAGCTGACAGAGTGTGCCTGAAAGTTGTTGTCAAGGGCATATTCCAGAGGCAGCTAAGACTGGGCTGTTCCCGTGAGGAGTGGCGGAAGGGATCCCAGAGGTTAGATTGGGTGGGCAGTCCATGCACAGGCAGAAATTGCCCCAGGTTGGGTGCACAGTGGCCTGTGTGGAGGGAGGTTGGTCAGGGAAGAAAGCATTTCTTGCCCTGGGGTCCTGGGACCTCACAATGAAACTCAAGGATGGGAGGGTTTATGGAGCTGAGGAGTGATCGGTGCCTCTGAGGCAAGAGGGCAAGGTGCCCACTGGACCCTGGGCATGATAGCTTCTGACCAGGTCCGAGCGGAGGCTATTTCAAGAAGAGGTCTTGGGGATGGGAAAGGGCCAACACCAAGGATTCAGGACCTGCTGGGCCCAGGTGGCAGGGGCCAGGGAGGATGGGGGTCCTGGCTTTAGGATGCAGAGGTGGCTCAAGAGGAGGCTCTGGCTGTGTGTGTGTGTGTGGGGAGCTGTTACCAGACAGCACCTCTCTCTGAGCATAGCAGTGAGTGGCATGAGAGGCTGTGGGACCTCTGCCCAGTTCCTTCTCTGCTTCCTTTCAGGGCAGTGGCACGCTATGTGGTGTTCATCCAGCCCCTTCTCTCAGCGCCCCCAGTCTGTCCTTTGTGACCAGAGCCCCAAGCTGCACACAGCCAGCACAGGCCTATCTGCTTAGCACCCCTAGTCCTTCCTCATACCCCCAACCCCACCCCTCTGCCCGCCCCAGGTCTCAGCACTCCTTGGGTTCCTCCTCCAGCACCTACCCTCTGAGCCGAGCCCCCTATTCCTGTTGCTTGCCACCCAGTCCCCACTGAACCCCGCATCCTACTCAGTGACCTATATTCACAACCGTGCTCAATCCTTTAATGCACCCTCCTGACCCCTCTCGTGGGCCGGGCAGGCCTAGGCCCCGGTGTCCCCCTGGCCCGGCCGGTCCCGCCCCATCCCAGCGGGCTGAGTCAGGCGGCAGGAACTGGGCGGGGGGCGGCGCCGGGAGGAGCCGGAGCCCGAGGGCCGTGGGGAGCGAGCGCGTGCCCAGCCGGGGTCTGCAGGGCGCAGCTCCGGGCCGGCGGGGCCGCTGGGATTGAGCGTAGGGCAGGGACTGTCCGGGACCCCACCATGAACGCCAAGAAGAAAGGTAGGACCGGGGTGCGGGGCTGGACTATGGGGCCCAGAGGTGCGGTGCGTGCTTGGCCTGAGCGGAGCGGGGGAAGGGTCGGCGAGAGGGTGGGCCAGGATCCCTTCCCGCACGGCGCGGGGCCGTGACTCAGTTTCCCGTTGGCAGCCTCCGAAAAAGTGGAGGGGGCGGGGCATTTCTCGGCACTGCCCCCCACTCTGGGAATCCCCGGACTGCAGGGCGTCTGTGGGACTCTGGAGTCCCGGAGCCTGGGAACCCCGGGGGCCGGGGGAGGGCAGGGAACCGGCCGTCGCGGGAGGCAGACCTGCACCGGCCGGGCCTGTCCGGCAGCTACGCAGGGATCGGAGCACCTCACCCCGCCCGGTGACCTCCCGGGGTGCGGGCGCCCGGAGCTCGTGGTCCACTTAGGGGGCCAGGAGGAGGCAGGGCTGGGGAGCCTGCCCCGCCCCTGGGTAAACAGGCGCTTCCGCGCATTCTTCGCGCGCCCCGCCCCTTTCCTGCCCCTTCCCAGCCCCGGGAGGGTCCCCTCGCGACACCCCCCTTCCTGCCCTGCGGCAGGCGGAGCCGGCACCGCCGCAGGAAGCGGGGGCTGAGCCGAGGCCACGCTGAGTCTCAGGTCGGGTCGCCCTCCGCCGCCCTGTCATTAGCCAGGCTGGCCGGCCCCACTACACCGCTGTACCAGGCGCCCTGGAAGGCCCTCGGCGGGGCCTGGGGGCCAGGCTGCAGGGACCGGGGCTCAGGAGCCGACTGACACCGGACATTTCCCTCGCCACCCCCAGGGAGTCCCGCGCGGACGCATTCCATGATGTCCCTGTCGGTGCGGCCGCAGCGCCGCCTGCTCAGCGCCAGGGTCAATAGGAGCCAGTCCTTCGCCGGCGTCCTCCGCAGCCACGAGCGAGGGCCCAGGTATGCTCGTGGGGCCAGGAAGCAGCAGGTCGAATGGAGCAGGTAGTGAAGGCTTGGGGGGGTCTCCGACTCGCCCCTTTCTGAGCTCAGCTTCTTCTCCAGGAGTTTTACCGCTTTCAGCCCCCCGGGGCCCCCCCGGAAGCCACCGGCGCTCTCCCGAGTTTCTAGGATGTTCTCCGTGGCACACCCGGCCCCCAAGGTGCCGCAGCCCGAGCGGCTGGACCAAGTGTACGCCGCGCTTAAGAGGGGCCTAACGTGAGCACCTCCCTTTCCACGCACCTTCCCTTCTCCCCACCGCCCGCCCTCCTGGTCAGCCCCCCCTGCCCCCCACCCAGGGCTAACGCTGGTCGCCCTTTCCCCCAGGGCCTACTTGGAAGTGCACCAGCAGGAGCAAGAGAAGCTGCAGGGACAGATCCGGGAGTCCAAGAGGAATTCCCGCCTGGTGAGGGGTGGCCTAGCCTGATGCCTTTTGCCTTTGTGGTATGGGGGGCTGTGCAGAGGCAGCCTGGGTGACCGCAGGACAGTTTTCTGAGACAACAGAGTCCAGGTGTGACTGGGAAAAAGGACATCCGGGGATGCTGAGGGTTCTGCCCATAACTTCTTTGCTGTGCGCACTTCCTGCCTGCCACCCAGGGCCTGTCCACTGGAGCTTCCCAAGGGGTGGGTCCGACTGCGTGGACCTGGGCAGCAGATGACGTCGTAGGTGTACTGAGAGCTGTGGTACACCTGGGCAAGGGTCAGGGCTTCTCAAGAGACACCATGGCTGGGTCTTGAAGCATGAATAGGAGTGTCCTGGCAGAGGGCACCATGCAGGAGGGAGGATGCAGTGGATGGAACCAGGGAAGAAGTGGGGAGGGGGACCTTGGGACCAGATCTGGGACACCAGCACCCACTAAGGGCCAGGTGGGCATAGGGAGGGCACTTGGTCCCTGCTGCCCGGAGGGCTTGTAGGCTGCCGTGTGAGGGACGGGAGCTGTAAGTGTCCCTTGTCATCTTCCCCTGCAGGGCTTCCTGTATGACTTGGACAAGGTGAGTGATTAATGGGGGTATGAGGGGTTGGCTCCTGGGGAAGGAGAGGGCCTAGGGCCTCAAGCACTTCTGACCCCTCTCTTCCCCAGCAAGTCAAGTCCATCGAACGCTTCATGCGACGGCTGGAGTTCCATGCCAGCAAGGTGTGTGTGCAGCCCGGGGGGTGGGTGCGTGGGGTGGAGGGGGGGGGGCCTGTACCACCTGCAAGATGGGGCAGGGTGCTAGGCTTCCAGTCTCTGCCCTCCCCTAATTGCCCTGCTCATCTGCCCAGATCGATGAGCTGTATGAGGCATACTGCGTCCAGCGGCGTCTCCGAGATGGCGCCTCCAACATGGTCCGGGCCTACACCACAGGGTCCCCAGGGAGCCGAGAGGCTCGGGACAGCCTGGCGGAGGCCACTCGAGGGCACCGAGAGTACACGGAGGTGAGGGGTGGCAGAGGCCCAGGGAGTGGCCGAGCTGGTCTGAGCAGAGCTGGTTCTTGATACACACCCTGTCCCCTCCCTCCCAGAGCATGTGTGTGCTGGAGAGCGAGCTGGAAGCCCAGCTGGGCGAGTTCCATCTCCGGATGAAAGGTACCGAGTCTGGGGGGCAGAGAGGGTGCTCCCGAGACCACTCCTGGAATAGCTCATCTGCTTATGTCTGTGTTCCCCACTCCCTCAGGACTCGCCGGCTTTGCCAGACTCTGTGCGGGTGACCAGTATGAGGTATGAGGATGTGCAGGGCGGGACCGGATAGCAGGGTCGCCACTCGGAGCATGGGCTGCTCTCATCCTGCTTGTCCCCTCAGATCTGCATGAAGTATGGGCGGCAGCGCTGGAAACTGCGAGGCCGCATCGAGGGGAGCGGGAAGCAGGTGTGGGACAGTGAGGAAACCATCTTTCTGCCTCTGCTCACCGAATTCCTGTCTATCAAGGTGACGTCCCTGTCCAGGACCCGGCTGCCTGTTAGCTCGGGGAGTACACAAAGTGGTACACAAAGGGATGGTGATTTTCTCATTGTTTCGAGGGCTAGAAGTCCAATTCTGGGTGCCAGCTCTGGGGGTATGCCAGAGGGAACCAGCCTGCAACAATGGAAGGGCCATGGGGTGCAAATGTACAGCAGTAATGAATAAAGATTATAGTAAAGTCATAGAGGATAAGGAAGATAGAAGTGAGTAAAATAAAGGAGTCAGACACATTTTGTGGTAGCATGCTAAACTCAGCTCCTCTTGATGAACCATGTGGAACTGGGAGAAGTGAGAGAGAGCCTTTACTATCTTGGAACATTTATAGGTAGCTTAAGACATGCATATTCAGTAGTTACATGCGTCATTAAGGTGGGCGGTATCTACATTAAGGTCCCTGAGGAAACCTAATACGTGCAGTAGGGGAAGGTACAAAGGGGGGTGGGCATCACGGTGGGAAGAGCAAAAGGATTATGTCTGCTTCTATAGGGAGATATAATCAACCATGTGCTCACTTTAAGGCAGCATGGCTGTTAAGGGGAGAATCTGTGGGAATGATTTTTAAAGCAGGATAATGTACTTGGACTTTACCTCTAACTTACCAGAGTGGAGGCTTTCCTACCGTGGACTACCAGCTTTCCAGATTCCCTCTGTGATCAGTTAGGGACTTTCCTGCTCATTCTATTTTCCTCAGGGTTAGCTTCCCACAGGGGAAGGCTTTCTCTTCGTGTCAGCTATGGTGGAAGGGCCTTGTCTCTTCTGGCAGCTGCTCCTGGGCACTCTGCACCGGGCTTGGCACACAGCTTCCATCATCTCTGCCTTTTTTTTAACGCTTTCGTGTCTCCCAAAAGGAGCCCTGGTAGAGCGATGGGTTAAGCACTGGGCTGCTAACCACAATGCCTGATATTCAGATCCCCCCAGGAGAAAGACAAGGCTCTCTGCTTCTGTATAGATTGGTCGGCTCGGAAATGCTCAGTAAAACGACCATTACCCCTGTCCTACAAATGACTCGAAGGCAGCGGGTTTATTTTTCAGTCTAAGTCTCAGTCACATCCCACACAGATCCTGCTCTGTTAACACAAAACAAACCCCATTTCTAACTGAGCTAACCACAACCACAGATTGAGGAGAGGATTTCCAACATGGATGTGACCCCTTGACCTTCATGAGAGGAGCCCTGGTGCATTGGACTGTGATCCGAAAGGTTGGCAGTTCAAAATCATCAGCAGCTCTGCGGGAGGACAGGGCTTTCTCCTCCTGTAGAACTAGTCTCAGGAACTCACGGGGCCTCAACTCTATGGCAGTGAGCGAGCGTTTGCACCTTTCTGAGGGGAGCCCTGAAGATGCAGCGAGGAACGTTTGAATGAGTCCACCAGCTGCTTCGTGGGCGAACAATGGCAGTTTATTTGGGTTTGGGACCTTCATAACCTTGATATTCTCATGATCCCCATGACCCAAAATGACAAGTCACTGACTTCTGGCCTTCCTCATGATCCTCTGACCTTGAGGTTGCTGGACCTCCTAGGCTTCCCGAAGGCTGTGACCCGGTGAGCTCAGTGAGACTACAAACTCAGATCTCGGATCCACACTCCCAGAGACGGCAAGCCTCTGTGGCACCACATTCTTGAGAATGCCAATCCCTGGATTTCCTCATGACCCCATGCCCCTGTGTGACCACACAACCCTCTTTTAGCTCCTGTGCCCTGAATATTCAGACCTCTGACCTCCCGCTCTCTGATGACCCCAACACACTTATGACCCACTGCTCACTCTTGGCTGCAGGTGACAGAGCTGAAGGGTCTGGCCAACCACGTGACTGTGGGCAGTGTCTCCTGTGAGACCAAGGACCTGTTTGCCGCTCTGCCCCAGGTGGTGGCTGTGGACATCAATGACCTTGGCACCATCAAGCTCAGCCTGGAAGTCATATGGAGGTTGGTGGGGCTGAACGGTTCCAGGGGGTGAGCTGGAGGTGGTGGCACTGGCTAACCGTCCCTTCCTTCTCAGCCCCTTCGACAAGGATGACCAGCCCTCAGCTGCTTCTAGTGTCAACAAGGCCTCCACAGTCAGCAAGCGCTTCTCCACCTACAGCCAGAGCCCACCAGACACGCCCTCCCTCCGGGAGCAGGCCTTCTATGTGAGTCGGAGTCCGTGCCCTGGCCTCAGGACTCCCGGGGGCTCCCGGGGTGGTTCTGAGAGCCCTTTCCTCTCTCCCAGAACATGCTACGGCGGCAGGAAGAGCTGGAGAATGGGACAGCGTGGTCCCTGTCATCCGAGTCTTCCGACGACTCATCCAGCCCACAGCTCTCAGGCACTGCCCGCCATTCTTCAGCCCCCCGGCCCCTGGTGCAGCAACCTGAGCCCCTGCCCATTCAGGTCACCTTCTGCAGGCCTGAGACCCCCACTGGGTTCCTGAGTGAGGAGCGGGCCACGGCCCCACCCCTGGCCAACGGGCAGGCCCTCAGCCGGACCCTGAGTCACATCAGTGAGGCCAGTGTGGACGCTGCTTTGCTGGAGGCCGAGGACCCGAAAAGCACAGACCGACTGCCAAGCCCATGTGCACCCCTAGGTCCCACTCACGGGGCGCACCTTGGTCATGTCTCTCCTGCCCCAGACCCCAGTTATCCTGTCACCATCTCAGCCCTCGGTGCAGGAGGCCCTGTGCACACACTTGCAGACCCTCCTCCACTGGAACAACTACCCCCAGAACCCAAGGCCACCCACCCTGCTTCTGAACAGCCAGGCCCCACCCACACCACAGCGAGCTCCAGTCTGGCCTGCACTACGGCAGGCTCTCCTCACCATGCTGAGGCCTCCCCAGTCACTACTGCAGGCCCAAGCCCCAGGGCCCAGCCTAGCATAGGCCCACCTCACACTACCACAAGCCCCGCCCATAAGCCCAAACTCTCTACCTTAACTTGTACAGGTTCTGTTCAGACTACCACAAGCCCCCCCCACACCTCTGCACGTCCCACACAGACCTCCACAAGCCCGGCCTACCATACTGCAAGTCCCATACAGACTTCCCCAAGCCCCACTTTCACCACAAGTCTCACACAGACCTCCACAAGCCCCACTTTTACCACAAGTCTCACACAGACCTCCACAAGCCCCCCCCACACCACTGCAAGTCCCACACAGACCTCCACAAGCCCCACTTTTACCACAAGTCTCACACAGACCTCCACAAGCCCCTCCCACACCACTGCAAGCCCCACACAGACCTCCACAAGCCCCACTTTTACCACAAGTCTCACACAGACCTCCACAAGCCCCACCCACACCACTGCAAGCCCCACCCATACCAGTCCAACCCAAGCTGGCCCAAACCCAACTCACAAAACCAGAGTATCCAATCACAGCACTACAAATGTTGCACTCGGTGCAATAAACTGTGTCCAGACCTCCACAAGCCCTCCCTGCTCTGCTGCCAGCCCCACCCTGCAATCTAAGAGCCCTTCTACTTCTCCAGATGTTACTGTCTCCAGCCCTACTGGGCACACAGACCCCACCCTCCCAGGTACCAGGTTCCTGCCCTGTGACCTCCCAGCCTCTACCCAGGCTGACCCCATAGCTCCCAATACCTCCTCCGGTCCCACCCTTTCTGCTGGCGAACCTCTTACAAGTCCTGTCCCAGAGCCCAACCTGCAGAACCCAAGCCCCATGCCCTCAACCCTAGCTCCAGCCTCCCAGCATCCAGACCCTAGCCTGGCCACAGCTCCCCAGGCTCCAGTCCCAGAGGCAGCCTGTGAGGCTAGGGACAGGCAGCTGGAGGAGGCCTTGGGGGCTCTAATGGCAGCCCTGGCTGACTACCGTGGCCAGTTCCCCGAGCTGCAGGGCCTGGAGCAGGAGGCAACCCGCCTGGAGAGTCTGCTCATGGTGAGTCAGCTGGGTGGGCTGGGCTGGGGCCCCCTCGAGGCAGCCAGGCAGTGGCAGCAGCTGGCTTCCTCCCCCATCCCAGCAGCAGCAAGGCCTGAGTCGCAGCCGGGCCTCCAGCCTGAGTGTCACCGTGGAGCACGCCCTGGAGAGCTTCAGCTTCCTCCACGAGGATGAGGATGAGGAGGATCACGCTGGCCCTGAAGACAGGTGAGTGAGGGCTCAGGAGAGGTGGGTGGGGCCAGGGAAGGGGTGGAGGACCACGTGAAGGGGGACAGGCCTGTTGGCAGTGCGTCTGTGTGTCCCCATCTGTGAGCACCCTGCCCCTCCTGTCCTTGAAACCCTGTCTCCAAGCCCCTCTGAATCCCCAGTGCTTCTGGCCGCTGCCCTCCTCTCTCCCCTCCTACTCCTCACCTGCCAGCCTCCAGCCCCTCCCTCTCCTGGCCTCACTGCGGACCCACCCCGAGATCAAGCCCTTCCAGTGCCTCCCCATGCATCCTCCCAGCACTGGCCTCCTGCCTCTCGACAGTGCCCCAGCCGGCAACCCCAGCCCCTCTGTTCTCTATCCACCAGCAGTCTTGGCTGCTTCCCAGTTGTGGGCTGGCCGGCCTCTGCCCCCTCTCCTGCTACCCAGGTTACAGCCCCGCCCCTTGCGCACCTTGGGCCTCAGCCTCTTGCAGTCTGCACCGCGCAGACCTTCCGGCCTGCAGCCCTGCTCCTGCCCAGCCCAGCCCCGGTGGTCCTAGCTGGAGGTGGCACAGGGCAGTCTGATTCCAGAGAGCCCCCCCCTCCTGCCACATGCTGGTCCATGCCCTTCCTCCTTCTGGACTTCCTCTGTGAACTTACTCGCTGTCTGTCTTCTGAATGTCATTTGTCCTTTCTTCTTGGGAGGGGGAGCCAATAAAAATATATGTGGTGACCACATGGTAATGCCTGCTCCTGGGATGATCAACCCATTTTTCCCATAGGCCCCCAAGCAGCCCGGAGCCTGGGGCTGAGGACAGCCTAGACTCGCCCAGTGCCCGCCCCCTCAGCACTGGCTGTCCAGCTCTGGACGCTGCCCTGGTCCAGCACCTATACCACTGCAGCCGCCTCCTGCTGGTGAGGCTGGTGGTCTCTCCTCAAGACCCTAGGTGGCCCCTCCCCCACAGGGAGCCCCCAAACTATGATCCTGGCCCTCCACACCTCTGAGATCTTACATCTTACAGTCCCCAGGGCCCTGGCATCTGGCCCTTGAGTGGACCACCACCCATACTCACTCTCTTGCCAGCCTTTCCCAGTGCATGCTGGGACTTGTAGTCCCTGAACCCCACCCTCCCTAAGCCCTCCCCTGGTGACCTCTGAGCAGCTTGACTGTTCATGTTCCCCAGAAACTGGGTACCTTTGGGCCACTGCGCTGCCAGGAGGCGTGGGCACTGGAGCGACTGCTGCGGGAGGCCCGAGTGCTGGAGGTGGTATGCGAGCTCAGCGGGTGTTGGGAGGCCTCTGTGACCTCTGCTCAGGAAGGTAAAGGCCCTGTAGGCTCTGGCATAGACTAAGCCCCTGACTTGCTCAGCCACTGGCCCACCTCCCACACACTCTCACCCCTCACAGTGGTGCGCTTCTCTGCGCCTCGGCCTGGCTTCCTGACCTTCTGGGACCAGTGCACAGAGGGACTGGGCCCCTACATCTGCCCTGTGGAGCGGGTGATCCGCACCTTCTGCAGCCAGCACGGAGCCCGCCTCACCCTGCGCCAGTCAGGGTTACCCGAAGCTGGTGAGCAGGATTCTCCCTGCCCCTGGGCCCCTCCCATCCCAGCTCCCCAGTGAGCGAGGCGTCCGGGGTAGGTCAACCCCACCCCTCACCCCCACAAGCTGGTGGCCAGGGGAAGGGGACAGGGCTGGGGGTAGGGGCCAGAATAGGAATTAGAGAGGGACTCCCAGACCTGAACCTGGGATGGGTGCTCTTTTTCTGGGCCCACCCACACCCTGCCTCTCCCAGTGTGTGCCAAGTTCCTGGAGGATGCCCTGGGGCGGAAGCTGCCCAGGAGGCCACAGCCGGGGCCTGGAGAGCAGCTGACCATCTTCCAGTTTTGGAGTCATGTGGAAACCTTGGACGGCCCCTCCATGGAGGCCTATGTGACTGAGACCGCTGAGGAGGGTGAGCCGTGACCCTGGGCCCTGGATTCCAGAGGGTGGCCCCGAGGGAGTGGGCCAGGACGCAAGCAGCACCCTCTTCCTGCAGTATTACTGGTGCGCAACCTGAACTCGGATGACCAGGCTGTGGTGCTGAAGGCCCTGCGGCTGGCGCCCGAGGGACGGCTGCAGGCAGCGGGGCTGCGGGCCCTCAGCTCCCTGCTGGTCCACGGCAACAACAAGGTCATGGCAGCTGTTAGCACCCAACTCCGGAGCCTGGCGCTGGGCCCTGCCTTCAGAGAGAGGGTAAGGACCGCCCTGTGCTCCCCCGAGGGCCAGGACCAAGGCCCCTGGCTTCCAGCAACAGATGACAGCTAAGTCTGCCCTTCCCCCGACCCAGGCCCTCCTGTCCTTCCTGGACCAGCTGGAAGATGAGGACCCACAGTCACGGGTGGCTGGCTGCCTAGCCCTGGGCTGCATCAAGGTGACCACTGCTAACCCTCTGCCTTTTCCTTGTCCCTCCTGACCTGCACCCCACCCGAGGCCCCTACCTATTGCAGTGGGTCCCTTCAGTGTTCTTTCCCCTGGCAGGCACCTGAGGGTATTGAGCCCTTGGTATACCTGTGCCAAACAGACATGGAGGCCGTGCGGGAAGCTGCCCGGCAGAGCCTGCAACAGTGTGGTAAGGCAGGAGGGCGGGATCTGGGCCAAGCTGACTTCTAGGGACATCCTAGTCAGTGAGAAGAAGGGTGGGAGGAAGGGGGACCAAGGGTGACAGGACTGGGACCTGAGGCTACTTCTGACCCCATCTCACCGTGGCAGGGGAAGAGGGGCAGTCCGCCCATCGCCGGCTGGAGGAGTCACTCGACGCCCTGCCCCGCATCTTCGGGCCTGGCAGCATGGCCAGCACAGCATTCTAACGACCCCCAGATTCCCAGCACCCCTGCCCTATGTTCAGGGCTCGCCAGGCACTGGCAGGGAGGGTGAGGGCTGGCTCTGGACACCCCGCCCCCCGATACATTTCCACGAAAAGCTAATATATTCTGTTCCCCTTGGGGCTGGCAGAGTCAGTGCCTGCAGTCAAGTGCCTCCCAGCCTAGACTCAGCATCCCCCTGGCCACAAATCAGTGTTCGGAGCCTGGTCACTCTGCCGCTGTCCCCCACGTCCCTTGGTTTTGTATATTATTTACAGAGTTTTACAGAAAATTAAAAAAAGCATTATGCCTTTCCTACACGGCCTGGCCTGGTGTTGGTGTGTGTGGCCCCTCTGGCTGTGGCCCTGCCCACACAGCGTGTCCACACTGTGGCTGGGACAACAGCCTGTGCATCTGCCCTGGACATCTGGTGGGAAGAGCCCAGAGGTGAGAGCAGGGCATGGAGCAGACAGCACTGGGCCGGCAGTGGTGCTGGAGGGGCTCAGGTGAGAGGCCAAAGGGTGCCTGTGACAGGGCCACGTAGCACAGTGGAGTGCTTGGCCACCAGGGGGCAGCAGAGCCCAGTCAAGAGATGCCAAGTTTCCAGGTCAGTTTCCCAGCCCAGGATGCCTCCAAGAGGCAGTTGGGAGCCTCTTGAGGGCTGGGTGGCAAGAGTCAAGATCCTGGCAGAGGGTAAGAGCTGGGGCCTGGGAGGCAGGAGACCCGGATGGCTGCCCTGTGACCCTGACAGCAAGCCCTACCTTCCCAGAGCCTGCCTCTCCATCTGTCATAACAAACCCCACTGACCCCTGGTAGCCACAAAGCCAGCATGCCACCCCGAGGGGATTCAGGGAGCAGCCCCCACTCTGTACCTTCCCCAATCCCACCATGACTGGGCTGCAGGTATGTGAACTCCAGATAGTGAGGAGCTCTGGGTAGGGCAGGGCCCCAAGGTGCCAGACCTGTCCGGAGACCTCCAACCCATACTCCTCTCCCTCCAGAAGCTAGAGTGAATGCATAGCAGCCCCTCACACCACCACCCCCCCACCCCCGCCCCCGGACCCGTGCTGTGGCCATAGTACATGACAACACACAGGATCTCAAATGGGGCAGGTGTCCCTGCATCTCAGAATGAGCCTGTGAGGTGCCAGCAGTCTCCCCTGGGGTGGTGTGGGAGGAGCCTCTGCCCCTGCGTGTTGAGCTGTGTACAAAGGTTTGACTGGCGCCCGCCCCACCTGCTGGGGAAGCCAAGCCAAACAGAAAAACGGCAACAGGAAGACACACAGGAAACACCTGTGTGTGGATGCAGGTGGCTCATTCCAGGCGGGGTGGGGGTGGGGGTGGAGGCAGGCAGAGACCCTGGGCACATGGTGCAGCTCGGTGCACTCTCATTAGCTACACCCGGTGGCCTGGGAAGCAGTGCCACTCCTTAGCTTCTCGGTGGCTAGCTGGGCAGCTAGGTGGGAGTGGGGGAAGACCAGTAATCGAGACCAACGCAGCACCCTGAAACGGCCACAGCTGGGCCTGCGCCAAAGACCTCTGTAGGCCCACAAGAGGGAACTGGCTGTGTGGTGGACGTACAGGGTGACATGGCCAGCACGAGCTCCCAGCTCAACCCACAGGAGAGGACCAGGGCTAGAGAAGACATGAAGCATAGAAAAATGCCCCCAGCCCAGCCAGGGGTCAGCAGCAGCTGTCACGGGGAACCTGAATAACCCATTCCCCAACACCAGGCAAGGACAAGGCCCAGGCCCTAGCTGCCCCATACAAGGAGGGCCCTGAGGCTGCCACCTGGTGGCCAGCTCTAGCAGAGGGCAGCTGAGTGGGCCAAGGTTGTTGGGCACCAGGCCTTAGGTACTGTGAGTATAGCCAGGTGGAGTTGAAGGCCTGGCAAGGAAAGGACATGGACACTCAGGTCTTTGCCCAGTCAAGCCTACCTAGCACAGAGCAGGGCACATCAGTGCCAGGGCAGCCACTTGGCCTTCTCTCTGTAGCTGCTAGTCAGGCTAGATGCACTTGCCTCGGCCCAGGAGAGGCATTGGAGGGCAGGAAGAATACCGTCCTTCCTCCTGTACATGCATGTGCACACAGGTGTCTCGCACAGGTCTTCACGCAGAACAAAGCAGCTCCGCAGCGCCGCCCCTTCTGTTGGGCAGGATTGGGTGGAGGCAGGGGAGCAGGCACCGTCCCTGTGGCTCAGACTCAGGAGAGTCTGGAGCCTGGTGAACCAAGTGCTGGGAAGCTGATGTGGACACTATGCCAGCTTCTGTGAGGGGATGTGGGAGTGGGCTTCTAAGGCCTGTGGCACCCCAAGATGCTCCCTACCAATCAGATCCACTGAGGTCACAGTCATCCCCTGGCCATTGTCTTCAGCCAGAAAACTCATTCTCACATACAACACACGAGGGTCAGGCTGAGGTAGTGCAGGCTGCAATTTATTGTCTTGGCCACCACTGGGGCTTCCTCCCACTCCCCCTCCTGCCGTTTTCTCACCCCTCCGTCTTACCTTTCCTGCCATCCCCCACTCTTCCATGTGTATCCCAAGCTGCAGGGAACAAAAAAGAATGGGAGAAAAGACATGTTTGTGAAGGCGAGCGGCAGATGGGTTGGCATGTGGGGACAGGAAGCTGCTTTGTCTCCCCCACAGAGCGGGGGTGTCTGCCTGGTGTGGTTCTGTACCTAGTGTGTGGGTATAATTTGCTGAACCCCAAGCGTATGGGAGGCTCCCTCCTTTCCCCATATCATCCCCAAGACAGCAGTAACCCTGGGATGTCCAGTGCCGGCCTGCATCCCTGTGGGCACCGAGGTCTGAGCAAGGCATGCTCTAAGCCTGCCTGACGCAGGCGGGTGAGTTTGGGAACGATTCAGGGCTGTAGATGAATAGCTCAGAAAGTAGGATCTATGCTCTGAAACTAAGACTGGCATTGGCCTGCAGGGAAAGGGCCCCATTTCAGAAGGCTGCAATTGGGTGGTGGCCATTCGTCTTGACGTTGAGGTCAAGAATCAAGTTTCAATTGTCTCTGAATCCACCCAGGGCTGGTGGGCACTCAGTAAGCACTTTTGGACAGTGGCTGAGTACACAGGTGAATTGCTATGACCAATAGTTTCCAACCATCTACGTGTCTCCTGACAGCCTTCTCCTCTTCCTAAAGCATCCTCTTAAAAGTCACGCCACAGGATTCTGCTTTTGAAGCACGTGACAGCCATCCTCTGCTGAGGGGTATGTACATGATTCACACGGCTTGCTCCTCAGCTCCAGACCCTTCTACCGAACTACTGACTGGACACCTTCTTCTGAGGGCGCTACGTGCCTCCACCTCAACAGACTCCAAGCTGAACTCAACATCCTCCCGACACCTGTGCCTCTTCCAGGGCTGTAGGATTTACCAACTACCCTGGGCCTGAGCCCTGCAACTGGACCTCAGCCTCCAGTCTTTCCTCCAGTCTCTTCCGTCAGGCCATCAGCCATCCTCTCAATGACGCCCCCCAATCTTTCTACAGTCCCCACTTCCCTCCATCCCCATGGGCATCACTCCAGTTTGGGATGTGTTGACATTTTGCCTGGACACGAAAATGACTTCCTCACAGGCTCCTTGCCTCGACTCTTGCTCCTGTGTGATCCATTCTTGGTACGGTGATCTTCAAAACACACACCTGCTAGTACTACAGGCTCTCTCTCCCCTTAGAGAAAATTCCAGCTCCCTCAGGCTGGCTCACAAAGGCTCCTCTGAGTCTCTGACCAAGCCCAGCTTCATTTCTGCTACCCGGTTTCTCACTCTGTCCTTGAGCGAGCAGAATCCCCACCCTCACACAGCCCAATGAGCGTCAGTAGACACCACACATTTCTTCCCGAAGTAGTCACACCGTGCTCCTGTTGCAGAAGCCCTGCACTTCCCCAGTGTTAGTACCAAGCACACCCACTGCAATTGTTATTTACTGTGCACACTACAATGCGGACGGCTCTATACATATACAGCTGCCCCTTCCACTCAGGTCTGGGGAAACTGATGGGGTTCTTCCCTTGAAGAGCATGGTTCAGGTTAGTTTTTTCTTTTAAAAGTTTTACTGAGATAAAATAGAGGTACCGTGTGATTGACCACTTAACAGTATGCAATTCAAAGGCATGTAGCGTATCCACGCAAGACTTGTACAGGCATCTTCATATGAACTCTAGAATCCTTTTGTGAACCTCCCTCCAAAGTATCACACATGCCTTAGTCGTCACCCCTCCATCCCTCTGTTCTCCACTTCCTCACCACAGCCCTGGGCAACTGCTGGTCTCCTTTAGCTCTGTAGTCATCCGTTCTGCTAACGTTCATGAGGGCAAGTCTAGCCTTTCCAACTCAAGTCTAAGGCACTGAGGGCCGAGGTCACCATCTCTTCAGTATTAGCTAGCCTGATGCGCAGACTAAGGCCCTAGGCAATGACTCAGGATATGTAGATTCATTTCCCACCTCAAATACCTCTGGCTGCCCAAGTACCTGAAAATTTCCCATTTTAGTCTTCCTTTTGGGTTAAGGCAGAGTTTTCAACTTTGATTTAGAAGCAGAAACCTCTCTGATCCCCTAAAATTGGGAGATATGGGGGATTGGGGAGCAGAGCTTGCCTGATAAGCCTACCTTTCACCTCTGTGCTACGCATCACACCCAGCAAAACCTTAAATATGGAAGGGCTACCTAATAGTGGGGCTCGGAAGAGGCAGGGTGGGGCTGAGGAGCAATCAGTGTTGCCATCAAGTTGCTGGACAATGCTGAGCAAGTCCCTTCATCTTTGAAGTTTAGGACAGAACTGGGCCTAGATGCACCCAGGGAAGCTGTGAGCATCGATGGGAAGGGCAGGCTGAAGGCGTTTTGCAACATGAAAAGTGGACCAATGAGATGGGCGATTACAAGGTGCTCGGTGCAGGCCTTACCAATGCAAGGAAGAACACACAGGACAAAACTAACCTACCTTCCTTCGTGAATGTGCCGAGGAGTGTCCTTTGACTTGAGAGAGCGGTAACTGGAGCTGAAAGGTAAAAAGAAATTTGGCTTTTCCAGAGGCCTCAAAAGAGCAGACAGCAATTTGAAAAATAAAGTCTGTAGTCTGGGCAGGAGATGATGTAGAAGGGCAAGTCTTTCAAGTGTTAGGAGCTGATGCTGGTAGACATTGGCGTCTTTAGCTTTCCAGGCGTCTTACAAAGCTGCTGTTGTTTTTAAAATAAAGTTTTAGGTCACTCCTCTACATCCTAGTCCAGTGGTGTGGGGCAACTTGCTGGTCCCTCAACACACTTGAGTACTTGGATGTCCTCGATTGTGGCGCTTCACCTGACATGCCTTTGCCTCTCTTGCTAACGATGTCCTGCTCCTTTAGGACCCAGCTCCAATGAGACACGGCTAGCCAGGAGTCAGACTCGACAGCAGTGGGATTTTTGGTTTTGGGTGTGAGTACAGATTAGAAAGGAATTCTAAAAAGTGTTTTAGTATCCCACAGAAAGGCAAGAAAAATAAAACAAAAACCAGAATAAACAGGAAGCCAAAAAAGAGAGGCAGGTTTATGCTCTAATATTTCAATAATTATACTAACCAGTGGAAGTTGACAGATTGGGGGTGGGGTGGGGGTAAGACCCAACTCTATATGAGAGGGCTTCCAAAAGTTCATGAAAAACTGGAATTGAAAGAGAATGGGATTTTCCCACAAACTTTTTGAAGTGTCTTCTTACATACTATCTACAATGTAACAATATGGATGTTTACTCTTCAAGATAAGAAAGGTCAATAATCGCTGGAGGTAAAGTTCTAAAGAGTGTAAACAGATTGACAATCTCAGGAAGAAAAAGCAGCTAAGCAATTTACCAATCAGTTTTGCTATTCCTTGTTATAGCAAGGACGGTGTTAAGTCAGGGTAGAGGGGTGGGAGCAGGTGTGTGTGTGAAAAAGGCAAAATGCAAATATCCCAGAGTTCTCTGGTAATTTCCCTCCAAGTTTCCCTTTTTGAAAAAAGGATTGAGTCCTAACATACATAAAGAACAAATGGCAGTTTGGTTTATAAAAGACAGCGATAACACTTTCAATTTTCAAAGACTTGCTACATTTCTAGCAGGGTGTCTAATCGCTTAAGGCAGTGGTTCTCAACCTTCCTAATGCCGCGACCCTTTAACACAGTTCAGTGCTACTTCATAACTGTAATTTTGCTACTGTTAAGAATCATAATGTAAATATCTGATATGCAGAATGTTTTCATTGTTACAAATTGAACATAATTAAAGTATAGTGGTTAATCACAAAGCAATATGTACGGTAATTATACAGTGTGAAATATTTATGTGTTTTCCTATAGTCTTAGGCGACTCCTGTGAAAGGCTTGTTTGACCCTCAAAGGGGTCGCCACCCACAGGTTGAGAATTGCTGGCTTATGGCAAGTACCTGGGATAAGGAGTCTGAAAAACTTGGGTACTTGTGTTGAGCAGCCTATTTCTTTTCTTCATGCCTGCTCCCCAGCAGCTGAATGTTGCTGGAGAAAAACCACACAATAAAAAAAAAACCACCAACCACCACACAATCGGATCAAGTGGTCTACCTTTAAACTCACGATAAAACCTTGAATGAGCACCAATGCCAAGACAGTCCTGCTAGGTTTGCACAGTAAACTTGCTTTCCTTCTCCCCAGCATTTGCATGACTTCTTCACTCCTGTTACCTTGCAACAATGGGCATCCTAAGTCATATCCCCTCAATCCTATTCACATGCTGGGGATCCTACTTTCTCAAACCCTTCTGTGGATTTCACCCCCGGGTGGAGCCTTCTCCTATCTGCATCACCTTCTATTCATTCTAAACAGCACATGAGCCTGCTCTAGAACCCTATCATCTTCTAACAGCCCCCCACCCCCACTCGACTCCAGGAGCTGCTCTTCCCAGAAAAACTTGTCTCAAGTTGCCTTCATGAGCTGGCTCTGTTTCTTCACTTTCCTGTTCATGCTTCGACCCACCTGAGCCACCACTCAACTGACCCAAAGGAATCAAGCCAACGTCATTCATATCCTGCAGTGACCTCCAAAGCGAGCAATAGCCCTAGACACAGCCGGCCACTCCTGAAAGACTGTCCTTAGATGCCATAACTCTTGGATTTTCTTCAACCTTCCTGGCCGATCTCTTGGTCTGTTTCCATTACCTGCGATCTCAATACTGGAGCGCCCCAGGAGTGGGTCCCCAAGTCACATCAGAAATGGGCAGCTTATATGGGATTGCTTTAATCAGCTCATACAATTTAATAGCATCTGCTTTGTCTGGCATCACCTCGATCGCAACTCATAGCACTCTATAGGGCTCGGTAAGACTGCCCCATGGAAGTTTTCTTTAGGCTTCCCGTGTGGCTGGCGGGTTTGGTTAGCAGTCGTCCGTCTAACCAACCACACTACGCTAGGACCATCTAAAAACTTGGACATGCATTTTAAAAAGCGAGAGGGAGACTCCTAAAGACCTGTCGGTATTGGACGGGCATTATCAAACAGCTGACTGGAGTAAAGGCTGCTTCGTGACGCGGGGTCCGCTTGATAGCCGTGAAGGGAGTTGGGAATCAGATCCCAGAGTTGGGAAAGGGCTCTTCACCTTCCAGTCAATCCTTGGTCACCGTTTGCGCAGGAGGGCCCGCTTAGAGTCCGCAGGGGCACCCTGGGGAGAGGGAGGAGCAGACGCCCTAAGCTCCGCCCACCAAAAAAATCCTTGAACACCTCATAAGCAAAGACAAGGAATTCACGTTTGAAAATAATAGAATGACACCGCACCGAATAGAGAAAGTCCTCCCAGCAAAAGACGACCTTGGTCCTGTAAAGGCCATCAAAGTCTGGTATTCCGCCGGACTCGCTGGGCTGTGGGCCAGAATGGAGGCGGCCTGGATCCACGTCCTGGAGCCGGGTTGTGGAAGGGCCGCTTACCAGGCCAGAACACTAGAAACCGCTGGACAAGGACAGTCCCCGCCGCCGTGGCGCTCGGAGGCTGTGGACTCCGCGGCTGTGCAGCTGGGAGCGTGCAGGCGGCTGGCTGAGTCTTACTCGGTGCCTGCCCGAGACGCGGCGTCCGGAGGCCGGGTCCGGCCCGGCCGGGGCGGGCCCTGGAGCCGCCTCGGCCCCACGGTCCGGCTTCGCGTGCCCTTCCTCTCCCCCGGCGTGCCCGTGCCGCAGCCAGGAAACCCGGCTGAGCGCGCCCAAGATCCGGCAGGCGCCCCGGAAAACCCCGCCCAGCGGGAGCCCGGATGCGGCGGCGCCCGCGGAGCCCACGCGCGACGGACGAGGGCGCGGGAGGGCGCGTGCGGCGTGACGCGGCCCGTGACGCCATCGCGCCCGCTTTTGAAAGTTGGCGCCCGGGG